TTTGATTTAATCCAAGATCCAAAAAAGTTAAAGTAGTATTTCTACAAAGTGCTTCCGATATCGCTATTATTCCTTCTTTTCTTCTATATTTCTTTTATATAGAAGTTTTATTTTATCTTCTTTTACTCTATTCTCTATATTTATTATATTCTTGTTTGTTTTTTCCTTATTTACTATATCTATATATTCCTTTTGTATAATCTCTACTTTTTCTATTTTTTTTACTTCTTCTTGACAATCTAACTTATCTGTTATCTATATTTCTTTTTCTATTATATCTAGTTCTGCTTCATCTATAATTCTAGTAATTTTTATTTGAATAATTTCTTCTTATAGCATGTTAAATTCTTTATCTTTATTCTTCTCTTTGTTGCTTGCAATACTTATATTTTCTCATTTGATTCCTTTTTTTTTTTTTTTTTTTTTTTTTTTTACTTTATACAAATACTATCATCTAAACTTTATTATTTTATAAATTTCAGAAGTGATATATATTGTGAGAGTACAACTTGCTACACATACAATTTTAGGTTGTCTATTTTATGTAGTCTGCTCAAAGGTTCTACACTAGCTACCATACCTGAAATCTCTTAGAAGATTCTCTATTTAAACTCTCTTGTTCTACCTCACTTACCAAAAGTATTATTTTTATAGTTAACCCAAACTCTGTGCTACTTCATATTAGGAGGTATCCAAGCTGATATTAGTTGTAACTTTACTATTATAGGCCTAGGTCTTATCCAAATAAGTCCTATTTCAATGCCCTTTAACAGATAGATGTCATAATACCCAACTATGCTATGCTATATCCCCATTCTAGCTTGCATATACCCTTATTTGATATTTGTACAAACCTAGTTCTAGCTGTGGCCCTTTACTAGTTTAGACTTCTGTATTCTTCCGAATGTTTTACAAGACAGATTCTCCCAATCTAGTTAGTCACCAAGCCAAGTTGGTGTTGCTATAACACCTAATGTCATAGACTTACTCGCACCTACTCGATCTATATCTTCATACTCAAAAATCTTTGTTGGATCAAGTATTAACTAGTGTGACTATTGAAATCTGTACTACTTCATCTAACTCAAGATTTCTACTATGCAAGTCCTCTGCCCATAGATCCTATCTATTTATTTGTATAATGCAACTCTAATATTCTATCACACTTCTAATGTCCGAGCAATATTGGTGCAATGTGATTTACAGAGTTACAACCCCAGAAATGAACAGAGTTTACTATAAGTTGAGTATAAGGTTTGAGTAATTATTCAAAGTATCAACAAAAGGATTTAAACCCCAAACCTATTGCATAGCAGTCTGACAATCTAACTACTACACTAGATCATTAGATCTTAATTACTTTTTTAATATTGTCTATTTCTTAATATATTGCTACTTTTTTTAATATACTTTCCTATTCTCTAGTTGCTATAACTATTTCATTTTTTACATCAAAAATTTTAGCTATCACTTATTAACATAGCTCTCAAATCCTTTTACTGATTTACTACTTCTATTAAAAATTTCTTTTTAATATTCTTTAGTTATTTTTTTAACTATTCTTATTGAGTTATCTTTATTCTATATCTTCAAAATTCAGCTTTTTGTCATAATGACTTTGTTTTTTTCTGCAAATACTCTATAAAATTTCTTATTTGCTTACAAAATTTTTAGTTTTGGTCTTGTATAGTTCTTTTCTAGTTTTGGTCATATAATATATTCTATTAGTATCAGTTACATATTTGTTTGTTTACTTATCTGTTTATATAATATATTATACAAATTAATCTGAATTCAGAATATTAACAATTTCTAATTTTTCTATGAAAATTTTTTCAAATTTTTTTTTTTTTTTTTTACTTTATACAAATACTATTAGCTTACTTTATTAATTTCATAAATTTCAGAAGTAATACATATTGTGAAAGTATAACTAACCACATATACAATTTTAGGTTGTCTATTTTAAGTAGTTTTTTTGAAGGTTCTACACTAGCTGCTATACCTGAAATCTCTTAGAAAATTCTCTATTTAAACTCTCTGGTCCTATTCTACTTACTACAAATATTACTCTTATAGTTAACTTTAACCTCATGCTACTTCACTTTTGGAAGGCATCCAAGCTGATATTAGTCACAAACTTTACTGTTATAGGTCTAGGTCTTATCTGAATAAGTCTCACTTCAATGCCTCCTTATAGATAGATATCATAATACCCAACTATGCTATGCTATATCTCTATTTTAGCTTGCTTATACTCTTATTCAATATTTGTACAAACCCAGTTCTTGCTATAACTCTTTACCAGGTTAGACTTCTGTATTTTTCTGAATATTTCATGAAGCAGATCCTCTCAATCTAGTTAGCTGCCAAGCCAAGTTGGTGTTGTCATAATATCTAATGTTATAAACTTACTTATATCTACTCGATCTATATCTTTGTACTCAGAAATCTTTGCCAGATCAAGCATTAATCGGCATAACTGTTGAAATCTGTACTACTTCACCTAATTAGAGATTTCTACTATGCAGATCCTTTGCCTATAGATCTTATCTCAATTTATTTGTATAATGCAACTCTAACATTCTATCATACTTCTAATGTTTAAACAATATTAGTGCAACATGATTTACAGAGTTACAACCTCAGAAACAAACAGAGTTTATTGTAAATTAGATACAAGGTTTAGAAAATTATTCAAAATGTCAACAGAAGGATTTGAACTCCAAACCTATCTACTACATTAGATTACCAGACCTTAAATTTCTTTTGAAATTCTTTGTTTTTTCTATTATTCTTTAGAAAAATATTATTTTTCTTTTCTTCTTTTTGTATTATCTATAACTTTTTGTCTTTTTTCTTTTTAATTAGTATCTCTATTAATGTTTTCTAATCTTGTTTTTTTGACTTATTTCTGTTTTTTGTTCTGCTCCAAAATAGTTAAATAATCTGCAGGGAGAGTATGTAACTGTTGAAAATATAAATTAATTACTAATATAATAGATAATAAAGTTTAATTTAATAATAATAGTATTTAAAATATAATAACTTAAAAGTTTTAAAACCTAATTAATTATATTAATAATTAGTATCTATTTGTTAACTTATTTAACAAGTTTATTTTGAAAACTTTTAGTTTTTGCAAAATAGAACTTTATAAATCCTCTATTTAAATCTTTATATAATTTAAATAAGAAAAAATAAAGTAAAAATTTAATATCTATAAAAATCTATAAGATTTTGTAGAAATTTTTAATTTAATATATTCTTCTGCATTCTGATATTGTAAAGATATAAATTATAAAACTTCTTGTTTAGTTAACAAATTTTCTACTTTAGGCAAAATATCAAGTACAAGTTATGCTAAAACAAAAAATAATAAATTATAAAGCAATTGCTAATCTAAGTAATTCTATTAGATAGCATAAAAATATATAATAAATAGGTTATAATAAGAACTAAAATTAGGTAAAAAGTTTAAATAAATAATCTCTAAGTTAGAAATAGTAAATTTAGTAGTTAGTTATTTGCTATTTTTTTCAAATAACCTAAGTTATTAGTATATAAAACTTATATTTAAATGATCATGTAATTAGATTATTTCAAAGTTAATTTAAGGTTATTTACCAACTCTGCTATAAGTAGATTACTGATATAGTAGTTAGTAAGTAACCTTAGAATAGAACTATTAAATAAACTTTTATTACAGATTAAATGCATATACGATCACAACGATTACATTTATTATAGAAAGCTCTTGTTTGTAATTTTTATCTGATTCAAAGCTTCAAAAATAATTTCAAATTTTACTACTTATAATTTTATATATTTATTTATATTTACTTATATAGCAAAAATGAATTTACAGATAAGTAAAATACAAATATAATCACGAAAAAACTTTAAATATATTACATATAATTAAAGATGTAAACCATTAAACAAAGTAAATAGGCAATTCTATAAATAATTATGTTTATCATTTATATGTTTATCATTTAACGTTAAAGAATTGAAAATCTTTGACATAAATTATGTTAATGAAAAAAATGGATATTTAAATAAATTTTAAGAATGAATTTACTTATAAGTAAAATACAAATATAATCACGGAAAAAACTTTCAATATATTACATAAAATTAAAGATATAAAACATTAAACAAAGTAAATAGGTAATTCTATATATAATTATGCATATCATTTAACATTAAAGAATTAAAAATCCTTGTCATAAATTATGATAATGAAAAATGGATATTTTATTAATCATGTAAGAACTCCGATGTGCCCATCACTACATAAATTAGGTAAGGTGAAACATATAGAAAATAAACAATTCTATGTGGAAATTAGCATACGTATTAATATCATTTATCCAGTTATAGATATTATCACGAGTGATTAATTGATCTTGACATGATTTTTGATTAGTATAAATATAGTCATACTGTATAATGTAATTGATTTATTTAATTTTTTTTTTTTTTTTTTGCTAAATACTTAATTCTTCAAAGTACTAGTATGGGAAACTAGTACATGGAGTACAATAATGGTCGTGCATTTTAGTAGGAAGGAACAGTTTGCTGGTAGGCGACGTAGCTAGTAATAGCGCGCCGTGGATAAACCGAATATTGGTATTAACCAAATTGAGGTCCACTAGTACACAAGATTGGCAACCGAACCAGCTCCGAATCCTACACTAAGCGCGTAAACAGGAACCCTGAAATGTTAATTAGTTAAAAAGTAGTAAAATGTTTACGTTGAACTTTTGGGGTCTATTCATCAATGGGAAACCTGTCACTGGACTTGTAGATTAAGTTCGAACGTTTATAACAGGGAGAATAGGTGCAACGATTGACACTTTTTGTGTCTCTAAAAACTACAAAATGTTGAGGATGTAATCGTCCTTTCTAGTAAACATGGATTAGCTTGTTTATGGGTTTAGGTTGATAAACGAACCGTTAGTCATATGGTGAAGAATACTGTTGATACCTATCACAGCCACCGTCGAGGCGCTATGTGGCAACACTGACCTTAAAGCCGGAACCCCCTAAAGCCCAAGGTACCGCGAAGAGAGGGAAACCTGTCTTGCAGCAGCAGGCCGAAAGACCTGTGGATGGTAAAAATCCGAGGGATATATCATATACTGGAAGACACCTCAGTTTACCTTGTAAAAGGGAGAACAGGTGCGAAAGAATAATTTCGTATGTAACTGAGGGACATGATGACAGCGAAAGCTGGAATGGGAAATCGGCGCTAAAGTCCTACAGGCTCACTGCTACAGAAACCTATGGACAACGCTCAACGACTGTACGGCAGTGGATAAGGGTATAGAGGCAACCAAGTCTTTTGAGATTTGGCACTGGAATTTATATCGTTGTTTAAAATACAGTCTAAAGAAGCCCGAAAGGGTAGTGGGTAATGCAAGGGAGAATAGTAGTAAAGGCATTTTTCATGGGGAACGTTGTAATTTGCGACCAAGAAATTTGTGCTATTCAAACGCCCACTATAAGAACCTAGTATTAGTCCGCCCCAGTTTAGGTGCCCCTTCTTGTAACAAGAAGCAGCCACTCCTCGGGTAGTGATTTAATTGCGAAAAACCACGTATTTAGTTGCAAGTAGTTTGAAAATTATCATTCTGTGCCTCTACAACTAATATAAATCGCTGGTTAGGACGTACTTGTTATAGTTTCTGAGAAAGATGATCCAACCTTAGCCTGACTATTATCATTTAGGTTGAAGTGTACCAAATTGAAAAACCATTCGAATTTCGGTGTTGAAACGAGGTTCGTTCACATAGAAAATTTCGAGTGGAAGGAAAGAATTTTGTGGAAACTATTTCATGATTTCCCCGACCGGTCCGTAAACGGTCAGCAAGGGAAGTTAGCCAAGGCCCTAGAAAAATAGGTGTACTAAGATGGATAGCATGCGGGGCTATACACTAGCCATCCTTTCACGAAACGCTGGTTATTGGCGCCTGAGTATATCTCCTCTGAGGTATATCGGAGTGGTAGCCAACGTTAGTATTATGGAAATGGATATCCAGATTGCATCCTACGACCTCCCTATTGGACAAAGGTACAGCGAAGCTACTCAGGTTTGCGAGGGGTAAAAAACGTGTAAATAATAGTCGGTTCACGTATTCATGTAATTGGAGGTTCCTTGTGAACGAAGCAAAATTCTGAGATTTGGAAGAAAGACTGTCACTTTAATATTGCGTGTGTTAATCACAAGCAAAGGTTACATGATCCAATTCATCAAGAGGATAGTAAGTTTTTGCTAAATATTGTCCAGTGTCTCGCCAAGTGTATTTAATAAAGTGGATCTACGTCGCGCGCTGCCGCGCCACGGTGCGATCGGCGGTTCGAGATGGAAACTTTAGTGAATGCATGGCTAAGTCGAGAATTCTGGGTAGCACTATGACCCAAAACTTTTATGACAGTATTGATGAGAAGCTAAGTGTAACCAATGTTAGCGTTATATTAAGCGTCATTGGTATGGTCGACTTAAAGGGTCTATGCTTGAACTCATATTAAAGTAATATTAAAGTAATATAAAATAATGATTTTTTTTTTTTTTGTTTTTTAATGATCGATAATAAATTGTTTTATGTAATTTGTGAAAACCATTAAATAAATATTACAGATCTAGTAAAATTGAATAAATTATTTCAGACCGAGTAAAATTAAATAAATTTTAATAAAACAAATCTATAGCAATTAACCAGGGCTAGGGAGTGAATGTCTACTTGGGGTTTTACTAGGTTAATATAAAGAAATCATTGTTTATCTTGGCTTCAGGTTTTCACTTCGGATTGGTCCTTTTGTTCTAATAGTTCCTCGGCTTTTTTCTTGGCTTCTCATAAGGTTCTTATTAAGTTGCAATAAAACTAATGAATTAGTACTAATCAAGTTAATATGTAAAGATATCTTTTTATGAAAAGCATCTTAAAATTTTACATAATGACTAGGGCTGTAAATTGGTCCGACTTAAACTGAGGGTCCCTCAGTCTGTCCATCGGTCTAATATTATAGGTTCACCTCATAGGGGACAATCGTCTGATTGGTTGATGTAAATCAATTGCCCGGGAATTTATTTATACTGTTTAAAGTACTTTTTGAAACTGCAACGTTTCACCATTTTACTGGAGAAAAATAATTTTTTTTTTATCATTATGTTCAGAAGAACGTTACCATCCATTGTGTAAAATAATTCCAAAATAATCCCAAAAAACAGAGAACTTTACTTAGAAGCAAGTTACCTATGTGTATTATTACAAAGGTAACTTGAGAACGAAAAATGTCTTGTAATGTTAGATTTGAATAAACTTATATTAACTATTTATTAATTAGATAGTTATGAGTTTTTAGTAATATAAAACCCGAGTTTAATACTTGAGTTGTTTGGTTTTTATAACAGAAAGTGTAGATAAAAGTTTTGGGTTTATAGATTTTAGATTGTATAGTGGGTTCAGGTTTATTAATATTTTTGTACTGCTTTGTAAACTTCTACCTATACTTTAAACATATCATGTTCGTGTATATTTACTAATTTATAAGCCTCTTTTATGAAGTTTTTGTTTCATTTTCTTAGTGATATTAACGATAAAATTATTAGAAAATTATATAAGTTGATTGGTTAATCATCATGGGTAATTACGGGTATAACTAGAAAAATTAACCAATCAGACGATTGTCCTCCTATAGATACAAGTTACTCTTCCGGAATTATCCGACAATTCCGATGGAAAAAAAAATATGCTGTATAAAAAATTCGACCACTGATACTACATTAACCAAAGTTTCATAGCATATCGTGACAAGAAACTATATTCGTAACTGTATTGGTATTGATATATTTAACCTTAAGTTACCAGTCCGTCCGGTCTAATTCTAATAAGTCCTATCCGGTCTTGGACCGCAATCCGGTCTGATTTTTTAAAAGACTATCTGTTTTTGGACCAAGACGGACTGAACAGACCGATTAACAGCCCTAATAATGACTTAATAATGTCATATAAACCAAATTTCTTTATATGCTGCATAAAACAAATTTCTTTAAAGTTATATAATAAGACTTTTAGTCATAACATTAAAGGTAGTTTTTATGTAAGTTTTCGAAAATGGGGGGGGGGGGTTTTTTGAAAACTGACTAGAGATGTAGGCGAATTGTCCTAATGATGCCGTAACTTTGCCGTAACATGCCGTAACTATATTAAACAATTATAAAAAGTTACGGCACATTTGCTGTAACTTTTTATAATTATTTAATATAGTTACGGCATGTTACGGCATCATTGGGACAATTCGCCTGCATCTCTAAAACTGACATTTTGATCGCTTTATGTTGCACCAAATTTAGATGCGCTAATTCGTACACTAAGCACAACATTTTTATAATAGCGTTAATTTTGCCAGTTGCTATCAACTTGTAATAATTTAAATTATTTATACAACTTTATGACTACGTATAATAAATAAAACTAATCATTGCTAATGTTCATAATCTTTACAATATCTACAATTTCAAATATTTGGCTAATATATACCTTTGCTAATTTCAATAATTATCCGAAATTAAGTATAAAAAAAAAATGTGCTTAATTTCTAAACAGAACGGTAGTGTATCCAGTTACTCCGGTAATATAGGTAATCTTTATTTAATATCACACCTTATAATAAACTATAATTCAATAATATTTGGTCTAGGTTCCGTCAGTTAAAACCTTTTCGATATATATACGTCGATCAGGTGATTGATTTCAGTCAAAATAGGGTACGTTTGAGCTTATTATACGTATTATTTATAAAAGTGCATATAATTATTTTATTCAAAAAAGGAATTGTGGCTAAAAACGAATCATATTATCAAACGCAGTTAGATTTAAGACATAATTTCTCACACTCACACAGGCCCACCATTTCTTTTTAAGGTTAAACCTTTTAAATTATATACGTAGAGATTCACTCTTATTTTGCTTCATTCGGGTAGCTAACCGTATTAGTTAATTTCTATTAACTATGCATTTATGTTTGTTATATATTTGATTTTATGTTAGATAAAAAATTATATCACCGACCGTTTATTACATAGCCTAATGGAATTCTTCGATAGAGCATGCATGATAATTGTTAATTTGGAGAGCGCTATGTAGAATCTGTTACTTTTTCCTTGGTGAAATATTCTCAATTTAGTTTATATCAAGTCACAATTGAAATCTGACAAATCATTATAATTTACTATATATGATGTTATTATTATTTATTATCATTTATGAAAATTCTTTATTTCTTTTTTTTAATACGTACGTATAATGTTAAAAAGTAATTCAATATTAGAAAAGTTTTTGATCAATTTAGGACAATAGGAATAAAATTTTGAAATCGTGCATTTTGTGAGTGTATGCATTTATAAAATTAAATTAAGAGCTCTTATGAGTAGACCACATATCAATAGATTGTAAATTTATGGAGTTCTAACTACATTACATTCCGATTAAATTGTGACTATATAAGGAATTGTAATTGTATTAAATAAGAAATCAAAAAAAAAGAATATGGAAACAAATTCTTAAAAATTATAAATATCGATATAAGTTAGTAAAACAAATCGACAATATTTATATTATTTATAACTAGTACAAAACGGGTAATTTAAAAATTGGTATACGTAAATCACAATTAAATCTATTGTCCTTATATATTTAAGCAATGTAACATTTAGTGTTCGATTCAGGATGACATTATATGCGATACATTCTTATGTGATTTTTAGAGATTATTCTAGACCTAATGGCAAAAAAAAAAAAAAATCTTAACGTTAATGGATTGGATTAATCCGAGTTAAGAACCTGCTTGTTAGCCACATATAATACGTAAGTACCCCGCCTCTTATTAACTAGTACTTTTTCTATTTATGTTAAAATTATACATGATTTTCATTTAATGACAATACGTTACATTGAAAAAATTTTGATAAACTATTTTACGCATTTAAATTATGTAATGTTTATATGCTAATGTAATTGTGCTTCAACATATGATTTACTTAAATCATATTTAAGCATGATAGTTAGTTAAATGATAGTTGTTTAAGTACATATGTGTAACAATAACGTACATATGTACATATGTACGTACAGTACATACATATTTCATTTACTTGAGTCGTTCATCTTCACTTAAAAAGTTTCGATATTTTTACTTTTCGTAACCCCTTTAAAAAAAATAAAAAATAAAAAATAAAAAAAAAAAAGTTATGATAACATTACCAAATGAATGCCTTTTTCAAATATTTGATAATCTTCGAGATTATTATAGATTCTTATTTTCATGTCTTCTCGTAAACCGTCAATGGTGTAGAGAAGTTGTACCAATATTATGGAGCGAACCTTTATTACATTTTAAAGATAAAAGATTAATTAAAATGTATCTTTCATCATTAAATTCAAAAGAAAAAGTTCCTTTAATTATATCAAATATTAAACTTCCTAATGATCCAAGACCATTATTTGATTATTCAAATTATACAACTTTTATTAGTTGTTATGGTTTAGAACATGGAATTGTAAATTGGCTTTGTAGAGAAGGTGAAGAACCTCGTAGTTTTAATGAATATTATAACAAATATAAATACCTTAAAGCTAAGGTTGAAGTTGTTAAATATTCTTTAATTTCAATGTTTTTAAGATCAAGTGAAAATCTTAAAAGTTTAAAAATTTCAGGAATCGTTCATAATAAAATAACAAAATTATTAATTAAAACTCTTGATAAAAATACCACAATTAATTTTTTGGATATTTCTTGTATTCAACTTAATTATCATGAAGTAAAAGCATTAGCTGATATACTTTTAAAGAATACGGTTCCTGTTAATTTAAATTTTTATAATAACAAACTTGGACCGAATGAAACAAAATTATTAGCAAGAGCAATTTGTTCTAACAAAACTTTATTATCTTTAAGACTTTGTCTTAATCAACCTGGTTATAAAGGAACAAAAGCTTTTTCTGAAGTTCTTTATAAAAATACTACACTTAATTCTTTAAGTCTTTGTGGTAATCAACTTAATTTTGAAGCTGGAAAACTTTTTGCCGAAGCTCTTCATAAAAATACTACTTTAACATTTTTAAATTTAAATAATAATCAACTTGGATGTGAGGGTGGGAAAGCATTAGCTGATGCACTTTTTTTCAATACTACTCTTACTACTTTAAGTCTTAATAATAATAGAATTTATAGTTCAGGAGGAAAAGCATTAGCAGAGGTTCTTTATAAAAATACTACTTTAACATCTTTGATTCTTTATAATAATGATCTTGGTTTAGAAGGAATAATAGCGATATCGGAAGCACTTTGTAGAAATACTACTTTAACTTTTTTGGATCTTGGATTAAATCAAA